GTCAATTTTTCCACTAATATAAACACACTTTAATGTCATTGTTTATTAGATAATCTATATAAAAATTACAATTATTAAAATCTATTAATAATAAAATATTTGTAAAATAGGAAATTTACTAAAATTAATATGTTAAAGTAATAATACTGATGTGGAATAAAAGAAAATATATGGATATTAAAAAAATGGAAATTTGCTAATAAGAATAAAAAGGAAATTAAAATTAATTATTCAATGAAAAAAATAATAATAAAATGACCAATCAAATACAGTTTTGAATCCTATGTGGACAGCTTTAGAGGTCTATAGGGTCAACTTTTATTAGTAACAGATTATATCAGGTTTAGGATTTAGAGTTTAGGGTTTAGAGATTTCCTAAACTAGATAGACATAAATATGTAAATATCTCTATATAATAAATATTTAATATTTGACAATAATATTGATAATCTTCTAGATCCTTCTATACCGTTAACCAAGAAAGAAAAGTCTTCTGATCCCAATGCTTCCGTTGGTAAATTATAGAAACAACAATAGATTGAGAAAAGGAAACTGTTCGCTTATAAAAAAAGAGCAGTACTCATCATGCAACAAACACAATTAAGAAACATAACAAATTAGCACTGATTTCTCACGTTGTGCTCCTTCATATATACGAGTATATATCTAATCTCTCGTTCTTCTATGTGTCTCGAATCCTCTCTTATTCCAGTGTACGACGATGCAAAGTCGGGGACTTCATCAGGCTCAATAAACTATTTCTTACCTCCCAAGAAACGCATGAGACCTCTTCACGACGACGAACCTGACACTCCCCTAGTTCCGACCGCGACGAAGAAGTTTGCGATTTCAGGCAATGCAAAATACAAAGGAGTGGTTCAGCAACAGAACGGTCATTGGGGTGCTCAGATATACACAGACCACAAAAGGATTTGGATCGGCACTTTCAAATCGGCTATGGAAGCCGCTAGGGCTTACGATAGCGCATCCATCAAGCTCAAAAGCTTCCAAGACGCTAACTCGCACAGGAACTTCCCTTCGTCTGAGTTCACGGTCCACGAAACTGACTTTCAAGCTGGATACACAACAGAAGCTGTGTTGAACATGATCAGAGACGGTTCTTACCAACAAAAGTTCGTAGATTTTTTCAGAATCCGTTCTCAGATCAACATCGTGGGATCAAAACAGAGCGGAGGAGATGAAGAGTCGAACAATGTCTCGTACACGCATCTTTTTCGGAAGGAATTGACAATGAGCGATGTAGGGAAACTCAACAGGCTTGTGATACCTAAGAGGTATGCAGTGAAGTATTTACCTTTTGTAAGCGATGATCAAAACGAGAGAGAAGAAGGTGAAATAGTAGAAGATGTTGAGGTTTTGTGTTATGATAGAGAAATGAGAGAGTGGAAGTTTAGGTATTGTTATTGGAAAAGCAGCCAGAGCTTTGTCTTCACCACAGGATGGAAAGGTTTCGTGAAGGAGAAGAAACTCAAGGTTAAAGATGTTATTGACTTTTACACTTGCGATGTCAAGACATTAGAATTAGGTCAAAGCAAGAGATTCTTGATGATTGATGTTCATTGCTTTTCAGACAATGATTCTGTGGTTACGGATGAGGAAGTAGACGGGACCGTTCGTATCAGATCAAAGGAAGAAGTGAAAACAGAAAGCTTCTTTAGCGATGTAGAAACCAAATCAGAGGAGAGGAAAGGAGGGTTTATGCTGTTTGGTGTTAGACTCCAATAGCTATTTTATCTTCTTTCTTAAATAGATATTTTAATTAAGATTTGATCGCAGAAAGAGTTTTGTAGCTTTTTATCACAGAGCAAGATTTGATCGCAGATAGAGTTTTGTACCTTTTTTGTTCGCGTCATTTAGATTTATTTTTGTTTGCCTTGTTTATGAATTTCTCATCATGTTTTTTTAGCCATTTTGGTTTTCTTAATGCTCTTGCTCTTTAAACGATTCCTAAAGAAATTGCCGATCTTGAAAAAGATATTAGATTCAAGTTGAGAGTATTGGATAAAGATTAAAATTTGTGAGTAATGCTTAGTTGCAAGATTCAGATTTCTTTAGCAACTTGTGAGTAATGATTAGTTGATAAACACAAATAATGATAGCAACTCATAAAAGATGTTTCAATCAATAGTAGAGATAATCGATCGATACCAACCGTATTACTCTATTTTAGTTCAGATCAGTTTCCATTTTGATCATTTATCTATCTATCTATCTATACTAATGAAATCAGCTGTTTGGGGCCTCTCAAGGTGTCCATGTAAGAGAGTTTCTCCACTTGCCACGTCACCAGCTTACTTAAAACAACGTAACGTCACTTGCATGAATGTCAAAACGGATCGGGCCTTTGTGATAAGCCCATATTTCTTAGCCTACAGACTCATCCCAATTACGCTTGAATCGATTCATATTCTTCGTCGTCGTCTTCTTCTTCGATCTCTTCTTCCTCCTCCTTCAATCGATTCGTATCTTATCGAGATCGGTTACTCCTATCGATCTCACAAGGAAGAAGCAGCACACACGAGGAAAAAATCGATCTCACTCTCTTTCTCTTCTTTCTCTATCGCTCCGCCGCGCCACCATTACTGAGATGCGGCGTTATAATACTGGCGAATTCTTCTCTGTGAAGACGATGAGACTTCTCGCGTTTCTTCTGATTTGTAGTTTCTCTCTTACTTTTTCCGCCGAGTCTGATATCGGACTGACTCAGTTGTCACTCGGGAGATCAACGGAACCGCAGCTAGGTCCAATGCGACGAGCGTGAAACCTAATGAAGACAGTTTCGCTGATATGATCGATCGAGCACTTGAGAAGGAGTTTCCGGAGAATGACCAGAATGAAGGTTCGTCTTCTAGATCTACATTTTTTATTTTATCAATTTTGCATTTTGTTGTTTAGTACGCCCCTATTGAGCTAGGGTTTTTGTCGCTAGAGATCAATTTAGCCTTCAATTATTTACTTCTTCTGTAAAATTTTCAGGCAACAAATCTGTAGTAATATCTAATAAGAATGGAGCAAGAAGTCCGACATTGTCTCCACTTCATATCTAAATCGATTTTCACTTCCAGAGTATGTAGCTCCTTCTTTGCTACAGAAATCCAGCGGACCATAGGTACGATATTGCCCTCCTTCTTCTCAATCTCTTCAACTTGTGGGTTTTTAAAATCAGGACCTGACCCGTATATTGAATGCCTTGGTTTTTCTCACGTCCATGCATCCTAAAATGCTAAATTCAGTGATATTTTACAGGTTTCGTTGCGTTAACATTCATGGTTTTTTTTTAAGACATCAGCTGTTTTTTAAGTTTATCATTTGAGGTCTGAAAACGCAACCACGGTTCCTTCATGTATTCATTGGGGATAAATCCTTTTAGTCCAAACTCTTTAATTCATTAAACTAAGATCTTCACTTATATTTCTTTATCCATTTGACGCTTATTCTATTTCACTTGAGTTATATATTGATAGAAGTTTTCTCTTAATGTAAAGAATCATGGCATGGAGCATATTACAGCCAAGCTTGGAGGCTCAGATCAAGCAAAAGTTTTACACGATACATTACCAAAGAAGAGGAATGAATTATACTGCCATGGTCATGATTTTAGGAAATCTGATTCGTTCTGGTACATACTAACCCCAGCCTATTTTGTATCATGATTTTTATATATGTTTATAGGGTTTAGGTGGTCTATTTGGGACGAGAGTGAATATTGAGATGCTATTTTGTTTCAGGTTCTTGAATACAGAGGGGAACAAGTGAGAGGTATCATTGCAGACTTGAGAGAAGCACGGTGTCGCAGAGAACGGAAGTTTTCCTTACAAGAGAAGACAGAACTGCAGAGTTGGCCAATTTGAGGTTTTAAAATTCTCACTTGATCATACCATATTAACTAATAATTACATGTATTATCTTCTTCCTATGAAACCATAGATCGATATAGCGTGTTTGTTTGCACAGTCGAGAGTAATGTGTTAGCTCATTTGCACATGTTTTAGTTGTCCGCTTTGTAGCTAAGAATAACTCGACAAAATGCGTAAGGGTTTGGTTTACTATACAGGGTCCTCATTCTGATTTCCCGGGTGTACAGCATGTGTAGCACTTATTAAAGATAAGAAGATAATTGTTGCAAATGCCGGTGACCCACGATGTGTGATATCTAGGAAAGGTCAGGCATATACAATCTTTCTAAAGATCACAAGCCTGATCTTGAAGTTGAAAAAGAAAGGATACTGAAAGCTGGTGGATTTATTCACGGTGGGAGAATCAATGGAAGCTTGAATCTGACAAGAGCCTTTGGTAAGTTTCTTTTCTTATTCCAACTCATTACTGATAGAGCTTGTGTTCTTACATGTAATCTTCATTTCAAGTGTACCGTTTCTGCTTTTCTTTACAGGTGACATGGAGTTAAAGCAGAAAAAGGTTTTACCAGCTGAAAAGCAAATGGTTACTGCCGATCCAGATATAAACACTGTAAGAATCTAACATTTTTAGTGTTATGTGTTCGATTTAACGATTGATATAAACTAATAACGCTTGCAAGCACACAATTTGTTTCACAGATCTGACCACAATGGTTCCTTTCGTTGATGGAGGGAGTAACATTGCTGCCCAGAAATTCCATGTCTCCGTGTCTTCGAAGATTTCGCTCCCATTGCTGACAGAGACTACGATCTCTTTGGTATTTAACTATTCCCCAAGTTTTCACGCTGACTATTCTAATTTTCGTACCCTCTCTCATATATTGGCTATGGATTTTGGTCTCTGTAGACGTCATTGGTCAGCTCCGCGTGGTCAGCGCTGACAACCTCAAATCAACTACCGCTGGTGAAACTCCAAGGTTGTCTCTACGGATACAAAGGTTTGATTTTTTTTCAGTTTTATATTCTCTCTGACTCTGTTAAATCATCCATGAACCTCATTCTCACTTTTACTTATTTTCCTGGAAAAGTGACTGCAAATAACAGAAATAACCTATATCTTCTCTATCGAACATCATGATTTGTGTGTTTTCTTTACATTATTATTCATTTGTGTAACTATGTATGTATTGCTTCTGAATTGTTATGTTCTATTTGCTGGGGAGGATGATTTTACCATACTATATTTTTTTTTAACTTTATGTAGGGATTGTGCTTAGTGCATGTAATGTTCTGCTTATATAGCTTCGTAATTCTTTCCACGAATTTCAACTTATGTTCTGAATCACTGTTTTAAATATGAAGATACAGCTTCTGAATCATATGAAAGTAGATGCCAGAGGAGGAGCTTGTCAGGGATAGAGGAAAATACGATCTCAGAGTATAAGAACGGTAAGGTAAAACACAAAAAAAAGGCAATGATGTTCAAAACAGTTCTGAATTTTGCTATTATCTTTGTTTTAAACAACTCAAAACGAAGTTGCGAACCTGAAGAGACGTACACGCAATCTGCTACAGTGAAGGAGAAGAAGTTCATCGACAAGACTGTGGATGCTGCTGCTTGGCCTACACAGTTCACAATCCCAACAACAACAACTTTCCCGAGCCTAAAGGTTAAGCTTGCATTCTCCTTAACACCCACTTGGTATAAATTGGTGAAACTCTGTCATTCAGAAATGTACCCGAACCCGGGTGTGAATCCGTTGGAGAGAAGAGGGTACTTATATGGGAGCGTGATGGCCTTACTCATGGGGATAGTTGGGGTGATGAGGCTGACCAATAACATGCCAAGGAGGCTCACTGAGGCGGTGGTGAAGAAGATGACAGATCTGGACGAGAAATGCAGATCCATGGATGCTCAGGCTAAGATTTATCTCGAGAGGGAGAAGATTCTCGATGCTGCACTTCGTCGTGTTGACCAGCTCGAGCTTCAGTTGTCTGAAACCAAGAAGGTGAATAAGCTCTCACTTCTCTTGCTCTGTTTTCTTATTGCTTTGTTCTTACTGTGTAAAATTGTTTAAAAAAATTAGGCTTTGGACGGGACAATGACTAGGCAACATGAGATTATGGCTTACATCGAGAAGAAAAAGAAGAGGAAGGTAAGAGATTGATCAAATACTTATATTGCTTACAATTTACATTATAAACTACTTGAAAATAATGTCTACTTTGTTTCATCTTTGTGTATGTGCTGCCAGAATTCATATTGCTCAAGTTGCATCCAGTGGAAAAATGCTGACATGGAGACCATGAAATTGCTGCAAGAAACAATTTTTTTTCACACTTAATTAGAGTAAAAGTAATATTAGTGTTAGGTATTTGTTGCTTGGGTAAAAGTAATATTAGTTGTGTATATTTCAATTTCGAGAATTTAAAAATGTTTAAGAAACCAGTTGATGAACTTTATCATACTAATAATGTAATTAAAACCTTTCAGCGATGTCTAAGAAAAGGCAAAGGGAGCTTGCAAGTTGCAGTATGTATTCACAACTGAAGAAGAACAAAAGGGTCTACCTATTAAACTAAATTGTTAAGAGAACATACATGGCATAAATTAAAGCATCAAGTGACATTAAGAAGGTTTCTCCGAAAGAGAGGGATGACCATTATCACTACCAGAATCAAACATAATAAATAACATGATCTAGACCATTTACTTTTTACTCCGTTATTCACGTACCAAAACATTCACTTACACTTTCAAACTAAATGGCAACTAATAACCAATATAATTACCCACTACCACATAACAAATAAACAAAGCAATGATAAACAAACAAGTTGTAAGTAAACAACACGTAATTCAAACAACAATGATAAACAATTCAGATCCTTGAGTAACTTTGTAAAGATGGAGTGAAGAGTCCCAAAGAATAGAAAATGGTATTGCACATTTGGTCTAAACGTGACAAGTATAGCAAGTAAAAAACATTGTATGTATGTTCTGGTTTGAAATATGTACACTTTTCATTCCAGTTTATTAAAATATCCCTAAGCTTACTATTTTCCTAAGGGAAGGCATTTAATGAGAACATCCGAAAGAATGGTTTAAACTAATAGAAACAAAAACCATCACTCAAGTTGTATATTTGTTTACTTGAGTTTTGTGATACCAAAATAAAAAGATGGAGAGAAGGATGACATAATATGAGAAAGAAATACAAAATTCTTACTTTGAATATTTTGTGTTTAAGCCATAAAAATTAACATTTGTGTACTATCAAGTTTCAAATAGTGCAATTTATGGTTCACCGTTGAAGATATATTTTTGCATTTATTTATCATGTATCCTCCAATATATTAAAGACCATACAGTTTTGCTGACATGTCAAACTCTTCTTTTTTGGAGTATTTTTGATTTTTTTTTAATTAAATTATTTAATTGCAAAACGGATAAACACGCGGATCCGTCGCCGGGTCGGGTCACTCATTTATATTCTAAAATTGCTTTTCCGAAACTAGATCAAAAAAGCCTTTCCTAAAATCTGTATGCAAGACACACATAATATAGCCCATTATGATATAAATGCGAACGAATATATGATTTTTTAATAACAATATTGCTTTACATATTCGTCGCGATTGTAATCTTCGTCAAACATATACTTTTTGACTCTCAAAACATATACTACAATGGAAACATTTTAATGACTGTGTTATTTTATTCCCATATGCTCCCAAAATAAATAAATATTAAAAGCATAATACCTATCTTTGGAATGTATAAGAAACTATGTACATCTAATTAAGTAAACAATCTTTATCGTTATATTTTCAAAATCTAAATTAAAAATTCTTATGAACAATTTAACAATTAGAGAAATTAAAATAGACGGTCAAACAAGAAATTTTCCTTTAAAGATTTCCGGACAAGATTGCTGTTCAAGCTAAACGATAAATTTTAATATTAAATATTCTCAATTAACTTCAACTTTGTAACACTATAAATATACACCCAACCCATATAGACACAATTATTTTTTCAGCTTCTATATTTTGTTTTTTATGATTCTAGCTTTCATCATTGCTCTCGAGATTATTTTTCAGTTTTTATATTTTGTTTTCTATGATTCTAGCTTTCATTGTTCTCGAGTTGCTTATGTTTCCTGTGTAAACTGAATTTTCCTACTCATCTTAGTTTTATTCTTTTTTTCTAAAAGCAGGTCATTCAAGTGAAACTGTGAGGACTCTGTAAACAACATGTGGGAAGAGGTACGTACACTATTTGTTTTAAATATGTCCGATTGTTTACGTCAGAAATATGTTATGTTTAAGTTTATGATTTTGATTATGACTTAATTTTCATGCAGATTATTTAACAGGTGATAGAGTTTCTGAAACCATTGATGACAAGGAAGAGATCCACAAGATGGTAGAAAAAGAAAATGGATGACGTTAATGTATTGTGGTTTTCTTTTTTTTCAAAGTTTGTTATTTATCCTCCCACTTCCAAATTAAGTTTTGAGGTCCACTGGCATGACGAATCTCGACAATCAGAAGCTGGTTGACGTGGAGGCTGCGATAGAGACGACGGAAACGACGCAGAACGTCGTATTTTCTCTTATTACTCAGAAATGAAAGATAGAGTATTTGATAAAGAAAAGTCTCTGGTTATGTGATGATTGGGTCTTTTGTTCTCTCTTTTTGCATTCATAGTTATGCTACATGTGCGGTATCTATATTTATTTCCTATATGTGTGAATATATTTGTACCTTAAGACAACGATCTTGCTTTTGCTACTCTGTTGTGTGTTGTGTGTTCTTCTTTGACACATGAAAACCATGTAAATAATGATTGGTTTCTTCTTTTTTTTTTTTAGTTCTAAAGCATGTAAATATGTATTACATGCTTCGAAAGCTGACATGAGCAACAACTAAAAAATGAAATAATTTCTTAAAGAATTTCTTCAAATATTATTCAAATTTATCGTACAATTAATATTTTGATTTTTTTTTGTGAACATATGTTCCGAAGAAATAGGAAACTCATCGATGATCATTATTCCAACATGTTTTTTCAGCCAAAACTATATATATGATAAACATACACATAAAATATTGATCTTTATTTATTTCTTGGTTGATTAATTTACAAAGCATTCTAAATGAGAAATGTCACGCACAAATTTGATATTACAATTCTAATTGTCAAACATGACTGTAGACTATTTCTATATGTAGCTGCTTCGATTAAGTCAACTTGAAGAATCTTTTCTGGATGTTTTATAGAATCAACCGCAAAGAAAATAATAGTCATATGCAACTTATAGAAAGGAGATAAATTAAATAGCCATAGTCATATGCAATTTAGTCATTTTTTATAGAAAAATAAAAGAAAATAGATCTCTTTTCTCAGTATTCTATTTAGCCATCGTCCATGTCAACTCACTTATATTTATGTCTAAAATCAATAATAGTCATATGCAACTTATAAAGTCCCAATTAATATATACAATATATATATACATTAAACTTTTATTTTTTACGGGGAAAAATTAGAATAAGGCTTCTGACATAAAATAATATTTTTGAGAAATTTGTGATTTTATGTTCAACAAACTAATTACAGAAGTTTTATAAATCACATTTATGGCGGAAAATTTGTTGATCGGATTTTGTTTGACGGGAACATTGCGGAATAGTTTGACTTAGAGATTGTTTTATAAAAATTTGGAAATAACTTTTCAAGTTTAAATTTATTTGCTGAAAGTTTACAGACTTAAATTTGGGTGAAAATTAGCATAATTATATTTTGCATCAAAACATAATTTTTTTTTCCGTGCATATATTTTAAGTGCAATATGTAGTGGATATTGCTATTTGCTTCCTAAATATAAATTTTAAAGGAGGTTTACCTTTGACTATATTTTATTAGCAATATTTTTAAAAGGTCCTTTATATTTAGTTAAATTATAATCTTTTGAACAAATCACATAATTAATTATTTTGAAAATAAGAAACAACTTACATATAATAATACATATAAATAAATAACCAAATATCTATCCATTATTCCAAAAAAAAACTACAATATTAGTAATCGAGACAATATGCTTATTATTATATTAAAATATTTATATGGACTGATAAAGAAACAAAATATATATTAATCTAAAAATAATAGAAAAATAACATATCCATTCAATAATAATTTATTTTAAATATGAAAATTTTAAAATTTTACTCAATCCCACGTATTAGGCGTGGGTAATCCCCTAGTACAGTAATGAAAAACTAACCAACAATATAACACGTGATAACTTCTAAGTTTAAAACAAATTCAACTTTTCACTTAAAGAGATTAACTTACCATTTATCTAAATTTATATATTAACGTAAAAGAGAAAAGTGCTTCTCCCGAGTTGGTAGCGCTGCTTAAATTCTTAAAGATCACAATTTTGTGTAATTGGATCTTCATGGTTCATCTTTTTCTATGGTTTTAGTGTGGCTTTTGTTTTTATGCTCTGTTTTGGTTAATTTCGTGTTGCTTAGTTTCTTAAGAGTTAAAAACTTATGTCGTTTTGGGTTTAAAGTTCAATCAATAAAGTACTATTTAAGAGGAAAAAAATAATTATCTCTGCAGCTATTCAAATATATGCTCCACACCAGAATACACCATATGTTGTTGGGATACAAGGCATAAAACTTAGAAACCCACAATCAAAAACATCAGCACATTTTACTTCGAATGAAGCTAACAAGGTAAAAAAGCTAACATAATACACAACCACAAAAGAATATTTATACGAGATGACCGTTCTTAAGCTTTACAAATTTCACAATGTTAGAATTGTTTACCTATCCTTCGGGTATGAAGAAACAACACAATTTCAACACCTCTTAAACGTTCGCGAAAATAAACACAAAATCATGCTGGTCATAAGCATTAGCCCAAAAATATATATATATGTCATTAACCAACATATTTCTGCTTCGTTTACTTACACCAAATATAACGTATCCAGATAACAAAATATACCCTTCCTATATCTTAGGATAACTGGAACTCCAATTAACCACAGTTCTTTTTTTCGACAAAGAGTTAAAACAAATCCAAGCAAAAGTTCTGAAAACAAAAAGATTGGTAAGACCAAAAAAAGTAAGGTCGCACAGAATATCAGTGACTTTAATATGTGACATACTCAGTCCTTTTTAGATAAGTTGTTGCTTATATTTTATGTTGTCTCATCCTAAATCTATTCTCAGTCGTTTATGTTTTGCAAACATTTATCTAAATTATGAACGTTGTTATTCTTTTGGTATATTGATATTTTGGACAAAAGATAGAGGGTTACTAACACAGAAATACCAAAACTACTACAAGAAAAATTACAGTGAAAATTAAAGATGATTTATATCATATATCTTTATAAATAATATAATCGGACGTAGCCCGGTGGATCACCTAGTAAAGCTTCAAATCACTTATGTAAAAAAAAGTGTGAAATCTGCTTTTCTGATTTCTTAGTGGTGGTTCGATCATTGAAACAAAATTCTGAAATATAAAAGCATCGTATTACACAAAAACAGAATGTTTGATTAAGAGAATTAAATTAGAGATTCATAACGTGGAAGTTTACTAATGTTACAGTTTTTTTTCTTCTACAAAGCTATACATCGAATCGAAGTCGAAAGTTAAGACAACATCCAAAGCTTTTGGTCTCATGTTCAATTGCTGCATAGAGTTTATGTAGCAGAAATAAAAGGGTTGAAAACTAGTCAATACACTTGTATAGGATTGAATCAGAAATCAACAAAAAGTAGCGAGCATCTCGAAGATAATTGAAAACTATAATGCTATTATCCAAAACTAGGAGAGTACCCGCGCATGCGCGGGTTAATATATCAAAAAAAATAAAATTAGTTTATCAGCATTATAGATTGACTTTGATATGTCCAAGATTTGAGTATAAATACTGAAACAAAGTTTTGTGAGTTAAGGTTTTAAGTCTGTTAATATTTTCACATCTATTTGAAACTTATGTCGTATCACATCCAAAATTTCAGCAGATTACATTTCATTGTTAATTAAAACAAAATTCCAAATAAAGTCCTTAATAGTCTCTATAACTTCGTCACTTCACTCCCTTCAAATACTCCCTTCAAATACGCAGAAGCATACACACCGTTTCAGTCTTTGCCTCGAACGTTTTCTCTTGACGTTGCCAAACATCCAATATGGCCATATCTAATCTCAAAGTTAAAAGTGTTAGCTCTCAAGAAATATATATTCAGAACAGCACTTCTAATTCTTACCTTGCTTTCTTTCATTTGAGATATAGCATCAGTGTTCCCATCATTCCAATCCATTCTTTGAATGCTTATCCAACAACACCCAAGAATTAGTCAATGAGAGAACATTACGATGGAGTTAAGAGTAAAGCACTTAGAAGTAGAACTGATTTTATAGAAGAATCAAACTGAAACAGAGAAGCAATGAGCCAAGCTCTTTAAAAGAGACTAAGCTCTCCCTAGGAAAATTCTAATTCGGTTTCCAACTCCAACTGCATTCATAGAAATTCTTAACCTATTTTTAGATTATCACACTTTGCGAAAGAGTACATATTGCAAGAGCATCTCCCCAAAGCAGCAACGGAAGTAAAATAGTCAAACAACAGTTAAGTAGAGGTAAGAGTGATCCCATTATTTGAAGGTGAAGATGATTTGAAGAACTGCATCATATCGTGGTTATTAGGAGATCATGTTTCTCTATCACATTAGAAAATAAAAAAATGGCAAGATATTAAATCACTGGGGAAAAGCAGAGAATTCCTCTTCTCTTTGATTGGTCCCGTCAAGTCTCTTCTCTTTGACAGGTTCCGTCATTTCCTGTGTCAAAGGCTGAAAGGAAAAAAAATCTACATAAACATCATACACCAAATTATACATTGGAAAAGCAAAACACTATAATAGGCTGATCTTTAATGTTCACCACTTTTCGGTATCATTATGAGGAACGATTTGGTGAAGGTACGACGCCATCTTTCCCAATAACTCCGACAACCATCAAGTTGCTAAGGTGTAATAAAAATGGAAGAAGGTTTCTCATGTCATGGAAAACGTGTGAAATGAAAGTTGCATATGAAATTGAATGTTTCTTACTCTACCAGCGATTTGAAGTGTTAGAAGGCAGCAACAGGGAGTAGTGTATTGTTGCATTCTCTCATGTATAGCAGCATATCCTGAGAATCAGAAGAGAGTAATGGAATGAGATAGCTTCTAAAATCTAATCTAAGTGATTGGATTTCTTACCAATTCGAGAAATTACAAATTTGATATTCGCTCCTCCTTTCTCTTTTGTATCAACCTTGTGAGATAGTCAGCTTCTCATCCTTTTAATAGATCGTCTGAGAGTTAACAATGGTGACTAATAACCCATAAGGAAGAAAAGGGCCAATCGAGATTCGGGAAGAGTTAACAATGGAGTCCGTGGAAGGACCGCTTCTATTATGGATTCCTGAAACAATACATGTCGGACAGATTTAAATCTACAGATCCGAGCAGATAACGACGGAGCGAAAGAGTGGGGATTCTTACCTTCTGATCAAGCACAAGTATGCCAATCGCTTTCCCTAAGCCGTCTCCCCAAAGACGCAGGAGGCGCACCGTGATGCTCTCTGCAGTCGGACCCAAGAGCAACTCTTCGAAAGCACATGACGGGAAACCATGGAAATTGCCGCTGAGACTCGCCGGAAGTGTTTGAAAGGGAAGAGTGTGACGGTGTGCGGCGACGAAATGGGAAAATTATTCTCAACAAAAAATCTTCTCTCTTCCTCCGAAACGACGTCGTTTGGCGTTTGGAAGGGAAAAAAAAAAAGGTGTCACGTGTCCCAGAAGAGTGTCTAAGCCTTTTTGGTGTTAGAGGAAGAAGGGAAGACACTAAACGATGTCGTTTTGGTGTTACACGAAAAAAAAAAAAAGTTACAACGCGTTTAGAAGGAAAAATTAAAGAAAGTGCTACATGTTCCGAACAGGAGAGTGTCCAACCTTATTAGTTATGTAGATTCAATAATTTAGTAGGTGGATGGATTTTTCATTTTTGTGAGCAAAACAAATTTGGAAAAAACATAAATTGGAGACAAGGAGTCTCTTCTAGTCTTTTGCCAGAAAATCAAGACAGCCCCTCTCAGCTTCTCTTCCCTTTCCTCTTGTGAAACTTCGGAACCCTGATTTCTTCTTTCTCTTTTCTCTTTTCTGGATTACAGAAACCCTGAATTGTTCCTGTAATCGCACTCTAACAATTCTGTAAATCGATGCGGTTTATAGGGTTTCTGTAGATTCGACATTGATCTCGCGAGGAACTGAAAGGGGATTTTTTTTGTTCTAAGGGTTTCGTTTTTTTGATCTTCCGATGGCGAAAGGTACAGCCACTGGCGAGTTTGTGGTTGTTTCACAGGTTCGTACAGGTTGCAAAAGAGAATTGCAATTCGTTTTGAAATCTCAGACTGAGATCTGTGGGGGCGAGTCTTTAGGTCGGACTCGAGCGAGCAAGAGCTCGATTAGCGACTCCAGAAGTACGGATTTGATGAAGAAACCTCGCCGTCTCCGTTCTGGTGGGATCAAGAAGATGCGTCTTGTGAAAGATGAGGAAGAGGAAAAGAAAGTTGAGAGTGTTGTGATCTCTGGTACTGTTGTTTCTTGTGCTCTAGAGGTAGAAGAAGAAGGAGAAGAGGAAGAAGATGAAGGTAGTAAGAGTGATGTTGTTGACATTGATGAAGGGAAAGGATTGTGTAGTGACTCTATGAGTGAAGAAGAGAAGAAGATTGAGAATCTGGTGGCTGAAAAAGAGATTTCAAGAGAAATGGTTCTTGCTTGTCCTGCCAATTTAAGTTCGTTTTCAAGATCTTGCCGGGTGAAGTTGGAAAGTGATTTGGTTTATGAGAAACCTGGAAGAAGGTTGACACGATCAATGTCGTCCAAGTCTGAGGCTAATGGTGATGAAATTGCCGAGCGTGAAGCCAAATGTCAAGAGGATAGTTGCGTTGATGCTTCTGCTTCAGTGGCATATGTGAAGGAGGAAGAGGTTAGTGTGGATCCATGCCTTGTGCATCCAAGTGGAGCATCGGAGGATAAGGCGGTGAATGATACAGTAGAGAAGCCGTTGAGGAGGTTCACTAGGTCACTGATCAAACAGGAAAGTGATTTAGAGTTAGACAATCCTGATTTGGAAAGTAAGATTGAGCCAGAACAAGCCATTGATGTCGAAATGGTTGATTTTCAAAGTCCTTTAGCTACAACTCCCAAAAAGCGTGGAAGGCCTAGGAAATGTACGAGGAATTTCCCAGCAAAGCTGAAAGAGCTTTTTGATTGTGGAATACTTGAGGGACTAACTGTGTACTATATTCGAGCTGCAAAGGTTAGCATACGGCTTTCTATTTTGTATTTTCGTGTCGAATAAGATTGTAAAATAGCTGATGTGTGTGTGTCTATGTCACTATCTTGGCGTAGCTGAGAGAGGCAGGGACTAGAGGGCTTAAAGGAGTGATAAATGGACCAGGCGTTTTGTGCTTTTGTGGTGCTTGCAAAGGAAATCAAGTTAGTGATATTGACTGTTATTGAATGTCTTGTAACCGTCGCTGCTATATGCTTAAGCTGGTTGATGTAACTATTTATTGTTACCATAGGTGGTGAGCCCGGCTGTGTTTGAGCTGCATGCTTCTAGCTCGAACAAGCGCCCACCTGAGTATACATTGCTGGAGTCTGGATACACACTTCGTGATGTCATGAATGCAATTAAGGAAACTCCATTGGCTACACTTGAAGAAAAACTTCGTGATGTAGTTGGACCAGCTTTAAAGAAATCTAGCCTGTGTCTCAGTTGCCAAGGTTGCTGATTTGTTCATTGGTTTGTTGCAAACGTTATAAAGACGGTTGCTGATTGGTTACATTTGATTTGATTGCAGGTCCAATGGTTGAGCCTTGTGATACAAAGTCGTTAGTTTTGTGCAAATCTTGTTTTGAGGGAAAGGATACAGAACTCAATACCAGTCCTTTTAAAGCAAATGATGCTCTTAATGGGTATGTCTCATCTTATTTTAAACCAGTCTTTGTAGTTGAAAGTAAGATGATAAATTAGATTTTATTCCTGAAATGATTGTCCAACTATGTAACGTGAACTATGTATAACTTTATTTTTGGGTATTTCTAATACAGTACTTATTATGTTGGCCTTTATTTATTTGGTTGATTCCAAAATCTGCCCTCTTTTCTACAGATTATCTACGCCAAGTGTGGCTCCAAGAACTGTCCTTCGGAAGTCAATAAACAGTCCTGGCCAAAGTAATAGGCGAGAACAACCACCCAGAAAGTGAGTATTGTTGTTATATAGATGGTGCCAACTATGTGATGGTCGTGATTCTGCTTTCTAGTTGTATTTTGCTCCGTTTTTTTTATAAATATTATAATTAGCTCGCAATCATTCTGGAAAATGACTATTGAGAATGTAATGTTGGAAATGTGCGATATACTCTTCAGTTATGCAATGGCCTAAGCAAACAGGATTCTGTTAGGACTAAGATTCATTTATATCTCTATTACATGATCATATTTACTGACCTTAGGCTATACTAAATATATTGGGGGGTTCTACAGGTCATCTGAGCCATGTGTGGTTCCAGGAACTAGTCTGAGTGAGTCAAAATCCAGCTCAATCAAAAGCAACAGCCACGGGAAACTTACCAGAAAGTGAGTAGTGTCGTTATAAGTGTCTTTCCTTACTCTATGTCATGCTTATATTAGTTCTCATTCTATCTTTTTGTCATTTTGAAAGGGATCTGCGGCTGCACAAGCTTGTTTTTGAGGATGATATACTGCCGGATGGGACGGAAGTGGGTTATTTCCTCGCTGGGAAGGTTAGATCTGCATGACAAATGGCCATCTTTCCAGTCCGTTTTTGTCACTTTGTCTACTCCAACCGTTTTGGTTATTGTGCAGAAAATGCTTGTAGGCTATAAGAAGGGATTTGGGATACATTGTTCTTGTTGCAACAAAGTGGTAGGCTCTCTTTAGCATCAAATTCCCCTTTCCTGCCATAAATTTTAAGGCTCTGAATCAGCCTTTATTTGTCATTTATTGGACCAGGTTAGTCCTTCATCGTTCGAGGCCCATGCTGGCTGTGCAACTCGTCGGAGACCGTAAGTTTCTTGCAACAATTTCCATATTTAAGCTCCAGTAGACTAGTAGTAGCTTTATTTATTAATTTCTGGAATTACAAGAGACTGATGATTCTTGTTATGAAGCTACTGCCACTCTCCCTAGAAAGCCAAAAACTAGAAATTGTTACAAAAAAAGTAAACTCATTAAACATTGGTACTTTGATAAACTAAGTATAAATTAATTTGTACTTTAATCCATGGGATCATTGATTGTGTGATTCACAGATAAACTGTTCAAATGACTAGTCTGTTTTCTATTGATGATCAGGTTTCATCACATTTATACAACCAATGGAGTTTCTCTTCATGAACTATCAGTCGTACTATCAATGGACCAGAGGTTTTCCATCCGTGAAAACGACGATCTTTGCACTATCTGTAAGGACGGGGGTGAACTCTTGTGTTGTGATACCTGTCCAAGATCGTATCATACAGGTTTGTTTTTTTGTGCAGTTTTCTATGTTTGTTTGTTGGAATCCTTCTATTGCTATTTAAAAAAAATTGTTGGAGCGTCACCTTTCTGTTTTTGGTTTTATCTTAGTATGTGCTTCTCTACCAAGCCTTCCGAGTGAAAGGTGGTCCTGCAAATATTGCTTGAGTATGATTGAGAGAGAGAAGTTTGTGGATAGCAATCCCAACGCCATTGCAGCTGGTAGAGTTCAAGGAGTTGATGCAATTGCTGAGATAAGCAAAAGATGCATTCGAATTGTCGGTGAGCTCCCAAGTGATCTCCCTAGTGTATGCGTGTTATGCAGGTGAATATAGAGCTTTTCTATTATATCAAATTTCCCCGTGGTTGCCTTTTTAGTGTCATATATACCTTTTGAAATATTGTAACGCAGTAGTGTAATGAGGTATTTTTTGTAGCTTTGTTCCTTGTTAAAGGAAGTTGAATATGTTTGATTCAGAAGATGCGTATACATTTACTGTTTCTCTCATAATTGAAACAATTTCCTTCCGAAGATGACCAATACTTAATTTTCGTTGTTGTTGCAGAGGTAATACTTTTTCCAGGCTGGGCTTTAATCCTCGCACTGTGATTATCTGTGATCAGGTAATTGTCTTATTGGTCATTGTTGTATTGAGACCTGTGTCTCTTAAAATCTGCATCTTGTTTTTGACCATCATTTTCTGTTTCTATTTTCTCTCCGCAGTGTGAAAAAGAATTCCACGTTGGCTGTTTGAAAGAACATAACATTGCTGATCTCGAGGTGCTCTTTTGGGTCTTTCTTTCTCCCTTAAATCTTTTTTTTTCTGGTGAAAACTCAGTATTCATCCTTTTTATGTCTTAATAGGAGCTACCTGAAGAGAAATGGTTCTGTTCCCATGGGTGCACAAATATCAACACTAAATTGGGCAGTTTGATAGAGCGCAGAGGAGAGAAGCTTAATGACAACTTTCTGAGTTTTGTAATGAAAAAGCAAAACCCTAATGAAGAAAGCTGTCCAGATGACAAGACCTCTCCAGACATAAGATGGAGGGTCCTTAGCGGGAAGTTGACCTCTTCGGATGATACAAAAGCATTGCTTGCAAAGGCAGTTTCTATTCTCCATGTAACTCCTCCTCGCCACATTTCAAACTCTCTCGTTCTTTGTGCTTGTTTGTCCCTTCTATTCTTTATTTCAAGGTTTAACTCGTCTCTTGTACCCATATTTATGCTATAGGAGCGGTTTGATCCCATCAGTGAATCTGGGACCAGGGGAGATCTCATACCAGCCATGGTGTACGGGTAAGTGTAAACATTGTATCTTCAATCAGTCGAGTGTATTGTTCTATGTGCTCATGAGACCCGTTAACTGATGAACAACTTTGCATGTGGAACAGAAGGGAAACAAAGGCTCAAGATTTCAGTGGCATGTACTGCACCATGTTGACTGTGGAGTAAGATTCTTCTTCTTTTCCTGTCTACTCTACTCTTTGTGACTCCTGTTTTCTTCTTTTTCTTATATGTTATATTTTCTTGTGCAGTGAAGTGATTGTTTCAGTGGGAATATTTAGGATTTTCGGATCAGAACTTGCGGAACTACCTCTGGTTGCTACCAGCAAAGATTCTCAAGGGAAGGTAAGTAGTCTCTTCTTTACCACAAGTGCTTATACAGTGATTCATCCATGTTTTTGTGCTGGTTTTTCTTTCAAATAGCTTAAGAGCAGAACAGTGTAGCATACTTATAAAAGATTTTACTTTTGTGCCATATTTTACCGGTCAGCACACACTGTGATCTAATTTGTATTATAGATGAAAATGCATGTGATTGCTACTGTTTTCGAGAGATAATGTTTTTTGTTGTTGTTGTTGTTGTTGCTGTAGGGTTACTTCCAATGCTTGTTTGCTTGCATCCAGGAGCTACTAGGGGGCCTAAATGTGAAACATCTCGTACTACCAGCGGCAGATGAAGCAAAATCCATATGGACCGACAAATTTGGTTTCACCAAGATGACCCAAGAGGAGGTATGGTATTATCTATCAAACTGGTCAATAAACTTATTTTAAACTCCCTATTGGATCACATCTCTGAAATCACATCTGTCTTTGTGTGTATAGGTGAGTGGATATAGACAAGACTACTCGGTGATGGTCTTCCATGGAACATCTATGTTGAGAAAGACAGTGCCTGCAAAGCCTGAAGACAGTATGGAGGAGTAAAGCTCAAGAAGTTGTCTTTATGTTTTTTGGAAGTCGGTGAAACGATTGGAGGATTAAATATTATTTCTTCTTGTCTTGGTCTAATTTTCGGCTACTACCGGTATTCATGTACAGGTTTTTCCACTAATGTGTCTTTCTTAACATTTGAAAGAGAGAGAGAGATGATGAAAGGGTAAGAGAATTTGGTTTTGGTAGAAGATGACAGAGAGGGAGTGGGAAGTAAGTTAGTCTAAACCATTTCTAACTCCTCCTTAATTGGGTATTCTTTTGCTGGTTATTAATGGTTATTATGTGAAGCTAATTTTGTTTTGTATTTAGATACAACAAATTGAGAAAAAAAAGTTTTTTTTTTTTTTGTTCAAAGAAAGAAAAGTTTCTTAAATCCTTTCTTTTGCATCGTATAACTTAGTGCAAATATGCAAAGCTTGAAAATAGTGGTTAGAGTTAATTTATATAACTATACAAATTCGTGTTTTGCGCAGAATTTTACATTGATATTATTAATGTGTTTAAGGAAAATTTGAAAATATCAAATTCTGTGATTTAGTTTTGTGTTTTAAAAATATTTTATGGGAATAACTCCCGTTCAGTTCCTTCCTATTTGTTTTGTCCCGTCCCACCTTGTCTCATTCCTTTTCATTTTGTCTCATTTCCATTCCGTCCTATTCCTTCTCGTCCTCTTCTGCTGCATCCCATTTCGTCCTATTCCGATCCTTCCCCTTCTGTCTATCTTGTCTCATTACTTCTTATGCCGTTCTGTCCCGTTCCGTCTTATCTCGTTCATTTCTAATTTTCTATCATGTTCCTTCATGTCTCATCCCATTTTCTTTCATAAATATTATAAAATTATGTAATTTAATTTAACAAAAAGAAAATCGTTAAGTTTTAGTTTTTGTAGATTATACATAAGTTTTTTTGTTTTATAATATTGTTTCAAATTCTTATTAAAATTAATATATCATATTCCCTCCGTTTCAAAATACTTGTTATTCTAGCCTTATTTTTTTTATTCAAAATAGTTGTCGTTCTCACTTTCCAATGCAAAAATTAATATTAAATACCTAGTTTAACTTTGATATAATGAAGAATACTAATAGTCAATTTGCTTTTTAAGGGTATAATAGAATTTCTAATCTGTTTTATTAATCTGCGTGAAATCTCCTAGAACGACAAGTAAAAAGAAACGGAGGGAGTACATAATACTCTCTATGTTCTTTAATATATGATGTTTCAACTTTTTTTCTTTGTTCCATATTATATGATACAATATGTTTTAGTTTCTTAAAGTTAATATATAAAACAGTACAAACTTCAAAAAAGTTAACCAAAAGTATTAGAATACTTGAATACTATTAGATAGTGTTGATTGAAAAGTAGTTGGTTAAAAAAAACAATTCATAAATAACTTAACATTAAATGTTTCGTAAAAAACTTACATCTTTATATATTGTGAAACAGAGGGAGTAATTGTTATAATAATTAAATTAAATTACAAGAAAATAGAATAAAATAAGTCAAATAAATAAGAAAGATCAGTATTCTAGTGGGAGATTCGTGTCATATACATTTAATGAATTTTTATTAATGCGAAATTAATATTCTTTTCTTCCCGAACAATAATACATTACAAAAAATATTATTTTTTATAACCATATCATCCGTGTCATATAAATATGAAAACGAAATCACCTGATCATCTGTAACTTTCCATTTTTGATTGCAGTCGCAACGTAAAACAACGAAGTGATTTCTTTTCGTTACCAATCGGAAAAAAAAAAGTAGGAATGGGTTTTCAGACATAAGTGAAACTGTAGATACAATCTATCTTTTCGCCCAAGAAAACATGTAATGTTATGTCCACTACTAACAATCTCAGGGAATCCCCTAGAACGGGTGATATTTGTCAAGTAGATGGGGCTTGGAAGGAGACAGAAATCCGAGCAGGGTTAGGATGGTTCTATTTAAACGTGAATACTCAGGAAAAGCTGATGGGTACTCGCAACTTGAGAAGGGGAATCTCGCCTCTCCAAACAGAGTTGGAGGCACTTATATGAGCCATGCATTGCATGTTACGGCATAATAAATTGATAACGCGATTTGAGACGGATTGCTCTGATGTGGTGAAGATGGTGTCTACGCCAGAGGATGGCCAGCGTTCGCAATACTTCTTGACGAGGTTAACCGGTGTAAACAGAGGTTTACCTCCTTCTCCATCGCGCACATACCTAGGACGAAAAACATGAAGGCAGACAAGTTAGCACGGAGTGCTCGAGCTCTACCTACTGATGTGTATTATGTAAACTCTATTTCGCCAATTTGGATTTCCAAACTGATTTAGAAATAGAGGCTGTTGATAAAAAAAAAAAAAAAAAAAAAAAAAAAAAATCTATCTTTCCGCTCATTTATTAAAGCGGGGGAGAGGGGCAACCAAAATTATTTATGTTTATTTTTTTTGAGTCAAAGGTTTTCGCTACGTGTACATTGGTAGCAAATGATTCTTATTCTGACATTAAATGTCAAAAGTTATAATTAGTGGCAATAACACCATTAATTGATTTAGCTAATTCCTCATTTTCTTTAAGTAAATAATTATTTTTAATGTAGTTTATTGTAATGATCACATTGTAAAAGCTAAAAAAGCTCATACATTCTTATTTTCATTGTAAAATACATAGAGTTTTTTTCTCATAATGTGTCTTCTTCAATTGCATTCTTTACGTGGACGCTTTTAGATTTATTTTTTCTTGCTTGTTATTTCTAGTTGTGTGAGAATCCTACTAGAATACAAGTGGGAATCATAATCTAATGTGTGGATTCACATAGACTTGGTTTATGATCTTATCAAAGGGAATTCTGCAACCCTTTGTGGCGATCTTCATTACCTTGCCAACTTTGACATCTTGTGATCAAGAACATATGATGTAAGATTCGAAGGAGCTACTCTCTTTATTTCATACTCTTCGGATATATATCTTGGGCAGCGGGTGAATTGATAGTTGGTGGATTGAAAGAGACCACATGAGCTGCAGAAGGCTCATAGTAAACTCCAACACTCTGTTTATGTAAACACAGACATCATAAAACAAGAGCAACAACAAGAATAAAGCTCAAAAAAAAATTAATTCCTTTTAAGGGTAAGTGATTTTATACAATGATAATAGATGAGCTTTTTATCCGTCGGGTGTTGGAGAGGTTTTGTCAAGCTTCGGGTCAGAAGGTTAGCCTCGACAAGTCCAAGATATTCTTCTCTGATAATGTTTCTAGAGAATTGAGTAGTGTAGTGAGCGCTGAAAGTGGGATACAAGCTACAAGGGAGTTGGGGAGATACCTTGGAGTCCCTATTCTTCAAAGGAGGATCAATAAAGAGACTTTTGGAACAGTGTTGGAGCGTATGTCATCAAAGCTTGCAGGATGGAAGGGCCGTATGTTGAGCTTAGCAGGGCGTATTACACTTTCAAAAGCGGTATTAGGATCGATCCCAGTCCACACTATGAGCTCGATCAGCCGGAGTCGACTACAAAAGCTTTGAGTCGTGTTTCGAGAGATTTTATCTGGGGTTCTACGCCGGAGACAAGGAAGCAACACCTTATCGGCTGGGATAAAGTTTGTTTGCCAAAAGCATAGGGTGGTTTAGGAATCCGGAAAGCAAACCTTATGAATAAAGCGTTGATCGCCAAAGTGGGATGGTGACTACTTCATGAAAATACTAGTTTGTGGGCGCGAGTGTTGAGAAGTAAGTACAAGGTTGGAGATATACATGACACAATTTGGACTGATGTGAAGGGTACATGGTCTTCTACTTGGAGAAGTGTGGTCGTGGGGATAAGAGATGTGATTCGACCAGGACATGGTTGGGTTATTGGTGATGGGCAGAGAGTGAACTTCTGGGCAGACAAGTTTCTGGGGGAATCCCTATTAATTGACGAGGTGGTCGCCGAAGTCCCGGAAGGTTTGACGATGATGAAAGCATCTGATCTATGGTTAGATGGAACAGGGTGGGAGATGGGAAGAATCACACAGTTTGTGTCGGACGATACAAAGCTAGAGCTGGCTGCGGTAGTGGTGGATAAGGTGTCGGGAGTGGGGGATCGTTTATCGTGGAAGGAGACGCCGGATAGCCGTTTCACAGTTTCATCAGCGAACCGCTTTTTGAGTCGTGATCACTTACACAAGCCGGATATGAGTTTCTTTGTCAAGCAAGTGTAAAGAGTTATGGCACCTGAAAGAGTAAGGGTATTCTTTTGGTTGGTTGGAAACAGAGGCATAATGACGAATCAAGAACAGCACATTGGGGACACCGAAATCTGTGAAGTCTGTAAAAGTGGAGTGGAATCAATCTTACATGTGCTTCGTGACTGCCAAGCAATCGCCGATATATGGCAGCGCATTTTGCCGAGAGGAAGACCACAAGTTTTCTTTGCTATGACTTGCTTAGATTGGTTGTTTGTGAACTTAAGTGAGAATCCCATGACGGAGAATGGGCCATGGTCCACTGTGTTTGCTGTAGCGGTATGGTGGGCATGCAAATGGAGGTGTGGGAACATATTTGGAGACAAAAAAAATTGTAGAGGGCCAGAGTGAAGTTAATAAAGGATTATGCAAATGAGGTGTGGTCTGGAGTGAGTGCGAGTAATAGTGTGGGGCCAGCGAGTAGGCAGGAGTGTCTGATCTCATGGACGCCACCATTGGTGAGTTAGATAAAGTTAAACACGGATGGCGCATGACACGGAAATACGGGTTTAGCAACGGCTGGTGGGGTGTTACGGGATGGCGATGATCAGTGGTGTGGGGGATTTTCCCTCAACATTGGGCGTTGTACAGCGCCGCTCGCGGAGTTGTGGGGTGTGTACTATGGCCTTTGTATCGTTTGGGAGAAGAAGGTTCAGCGCCTCATCAATGGTGGTTGGGTTCTTAATGACAGGGATCTCTCGTCCACATCCGTTGTCTTTCCTGGTACACTTGTGACACGGCTTTTTATCGAAGGACTGGGAAGTCCGAGTTACGCATGTGTATAGAGAGGCTAATCATCTCACTGATGGATTAGCAAACTATACGTTTTCTTTGCTATTAGGCTTGCATACATTTGATTCAGTTCCTGTGGACTTATTGCCAGTGTTGCGTGATGACGAGTGTGGAGTCATGCAGCAAGTCCGTGTGTAATACTCTTTTAAAGTTAATATAATCTTGGAGCTTGCTCCCGGGGTTTCACCAAAATAAAAATAGATGAACTCCTTTACAAGATCTTTATAGTCAAAGAAGCTAAATACAAGAGAAAATTATGCACAATTTGAATTTTAATACAAATGTTTTTATTGTCACTAATTCAACTTTTGATTTTGAATCAGAGTTTTTTGCCTTGGTCAAAATGTGGATATTCTGATAACTTGAGAGTGGTTTACAGTTTATTTCTGGCTCAGTTTCTTTGGTATTCGGTTAATTTGGTTTGGTTTTGGTTTCTGGCATTTTATTATAAGGAAACCGACGATTTACAACAAAAAAATATCTGATTTGGTTTTTGTTTTTGTAGATGAAATAGGAAAGTTCCCTAAAACATTCCTGTGAGATGAAGTTCTGTTTTTTTTTTTTTGACAATTTTGTATTTAGTTTTGTTTATTAATTAACTCTTTTACAATTGGTAATAAATGTTGGTTTTTTCAATTCATTACTCATTTCATTTCCAGAATTGTAAATTAAACTTATAATCCAAGATTCTTTGTAATACTGTAATTTTTTATCTTTCTTTATTTTGTACAAATGATTATTTGCAATTAAATGTTAATAATAAAAAATAATTTGCATCTCAAAAGATTATATATATATTCATTTTGCATGCTCATAATATTCGTTTTTTTTTACAATCACTATTTATGCAAGTTAGTTAGTTTTTTTTTTTAAAACAAAAACTTTATAAATATAATTACAAACATAACAATTCAAAAATAATTTCTTTTACTGATATATTTCTATAATATAATGATTCTATTAAACTATTATAATGAATTCACAAATGTTAATATATACAATTTAATATTATTTTAGAAACAAATATCAGACTGAACCATATAATATGCAAAAGCAAAAAATAGGAGTAGTTTATCTTAAAGCAAACATTAAGAAAAATATTGCAAACGTATAATGGACAAATATTCAATGCTATATTTTGTTCAATATGTTGTAATTATAATGTTTTTAGATAGAAAAATTTATTATAATAATTCTATCTACTGCATATATAATTATATTATAATTGTTTTCATCTTTTAAATGTTTTATTTGCATTATTTTTACGATTTAATCTATAACGTCTCGACCGCCCATTCCGATGAGTCACACACATCCTCTCTCGGTCTGTGGGCCTCACCCCTGTCCGACTGCCCGTGTGCTATTTTTTAGAGGCTCTAATAACTTGTTTACTATCCCTGCAATCAACACCCAATCTTTCCCCGTCTTTTGTCCTCATTCACACGGTTTCGGAAATCATTTACCGGAAAGTCACCCATCCTTCCACTACTCCAACCCAAGCATTCTTAACTCTGGAGTTTCTTATGGACATTTGACTGAAAAAGTAAGTGCACTTTGTTGAAATAGGTAGCCAAAGAAATTCTCTTAAGTCTCTCCTCATTTATCACAAACTATGATGTTACAATTCACCCCCACTCGCTGCGCGCAACGTCCTCGTTGCACACCTGGATCATCACCCCTGACGGTGTGAGTCAAAGCCACTTCATTTGACTCCACACTCTCGTCTGGGTTTGGCTCTGATACTAAATTATAACGCCTCGATCGCCCATCCCGATGAGTCAACCCTATCCGACGGCCGGTGCACTATTTTTGAGATTCTATAATGACTTGTTTACTATCTCTACAATCAACACATGACCTTTCCCCGTGTTTTGGCCTCACTCACACGGTTTCAGAAATCACTTCCCGGAAAGTCACCCATTCTTTCACAATTCCAGCCCAATCACGCTTAAATCTGAAGTTACTTATGGACGTTTGACCGAAAAGGTAAATGCATTTTATTGAAATAGGTAATCAAATCGATTCTCTTAAGCCTCTTCTTATTTATCAGGATGTTACATAATCAAATATGATGATTCGCTAAAATTAATGTAGAAAAAGTGTTTGGCTTCTGATGTTAAAATCAACATTAGGCTTTCGAGTTAAGTCATTTTGCCAAGACAGAATTATGATCCCTAAGATTTCCCTTCCTCTTAACAAAATAGAGTTCTACGACGTGTTGGAACTCATTTTTGATATGTCAAAATGAAGTTAGTTTGAATGAGAAATGGAGGTCCAAGTAGGTTGCTTGTATAGCATAAAATGTAATATTTATGAAATATACCACATTGGAAGTTTGAGCTGAAATCCTCTTGTATATAAAGTGGAGAATTTAAAACAAGGTTTAAAAACTTGTGTATATTTAAGTGTATTGGAGAAAAGAGAAACCCGGGCTGAACTTGTGTTTCAGGCCTCGGGATTGGTAGTCGGGCCAAGTCCTAAATATTATTCTTTTTTACCAGAAATTCTTGCTGAATTTTAATGTTGATTAAGTCAACAAAAATATCTTCTCTAATTAATCTCATGAGACAATTAAGTGCATAGTCAATACTATTGATTTTGTAACTTAAAGAAATTAAGTCATATTGAGAAAAGAATATATATATATATATATAAAGTTCATGTGATTCTATACTGGTGGTGCCACGTCAGTAAAGAAGGGTGCTTTTAAATTCTCGAAATTGCCACATCAGCATTGTATTTCTTAATTTAATTTATTATATTTTCTCTTCTTATATTTTAATTCTTTATGATCATTCATTAATATAATCATTAAATAATACAATAGTTTTTGCAAGAATTTGAAAAGTCTGATTTATAAAATAAAAGAAATATTATGTATAGATCTTAAAAAACTATTTAATAATAACAATAAAAAATATATATATTATACAAACAACACTGTTTTTTTTATAGCATTTTGGGAAGAAAAGAGACGAAATTAAATATGACGAGACGAAAAAAAATAGAATCAAAGAAGAGGGGAATTTTGTTTACTTCTTATGATATTAAGTGACGAGACGAAATCTAAATGAACATAATAGTACAAGACAAAAATTTTGCCTACCTCTAATTATATTTAGGGGTGGACGGAAAAAAAAAAAAAAAAACATAATGAGAAAAGATAAGAAAGAAATGTTGGATACGACAAAATGAAAAATGAAATGTGACGGGATTGGACGGAACGAGATGAAAAAGGACAATGGGACGGGAAGGGACGGGACGAGAATTTTGCCTACCACTAATTATATTTAGAGACAAGACAGAGATAAGACAAAATGGAAAAGAACATAATAAGATATGATGGGACTTGATGTGACAGACAGAACGAACGGTATGGGAAAGAACATGACAAGATGAAAAGGAGCGAAATGAGATAAAATTATGTCTACCTCTAATTATATTTAGGGAACGAGACGAGAATAAACAAAATGGAAAGAATTATAATGGGATAAGATGAGACTGAATGAGACATGACATATAGGACGAACGGACGGGAAAGAACGTACATGATGAAAATAAACGAAATGGGACGAGATGGTACAAATTTTTTGTCTAACTCTAATTATTTTCAAATAATATGTGCGTAATATCTTTAAAACAATATTAATTTGCGGAAAAACAATATAATTATCACAACCCGTGCGTAACCCGCTAACTGTAACATTACTCTTTTGTAATTATGAGCTATCTCCTTTATTGCGTATAACGTTGGAATGATACGTTGGAATGGTGTGGCTATATAAAAAAGCCATTGGTCCTTCTCTTGTGAATAATTTAATCACACATCAAAGAACATACGAAATATGTGTTCTTCATACGGCAAAACCAGCTCAACAAATACAGCTTAACCAATGGATGTCCTTCAAATCATGTGCATATGATGACAGCTGCCACTAGAGGATAAGATCGATTTCTTACTATTTTATAAGTTGAAATGATGTAATCGGAGCTATTAAGAAAGGAAATAACAAAACTTTAGCATCTTTTTCAAGCTCTCTCTTTCACGCACTACCGTGCTTATTTCTCTTGTTTCCTTTGACCTTATCAAACTTATTTCGCATTGTATATTTTGCTATTATCATTTGGACCTTAGTAAACAGGCCTGGCGTTGGGACGTGATGTGCCACTATAAACAGTGCTTAGCTAAAAAAACATTAAAAATTTATTGGAAAAAAATATACTTGGCGAAATTTGGAAAAATCTTTAAAAGTAATTTTGAGATAAAAATAAACTAGAAGACAAGCACGTTAGCCTTAAAAGTATCACGGGACTTGTTTAAGACGTGGGCTTTAAAATGTGCATGTGTAGTTTAGCGCTTTTTACAAAAATGAAAAAAAAAAAATAGAAAGAAAGAAAATGTGAATGTCGCAGACGGAGTATTAAGATTGTTGAGAAATGATGTAGAAAAGGAATCTAAGGAATCTCTTCCGTGATTGAAGTGCTCTTCTTTCACCAACACACATTGAAGATATTTAACCCCAAAACAATAAAACAATCATACATTTTTTTTTTGGTTAAAGTCTTAAAGATCTAAACAATAATACATTGAACAAAGGAGAATGCGGGTGAGCTAGTGTGGTGGCCTATGGCTGCCTAAAAGCCAATCAATTAAAATGTGGCCCTGATCCTAGTTTTTATTTAATTTTAAAATTTAAGTATTATTTTTTTATAAATATGCCCATGTAAAAATGAGGAGAAATAAAAAGGGAAATTGTAACAGATAACCATAAAAAAAAGTAAAATTCACCAAATAGCCATATTAATGTGTGGCTAGAGTATTCTTTGTATAATATGTATTAATGACTAAATTATCCTTCTCTTCTTCTTCTTCCTCTTCTGAAATTCGAACAATTGATTTCTCAATTCTCAACAAACGTGAGATCAATCGCTGTAAGTTATATCAGATTTGATTCTGTTACACCTCTTCCAATCTTGAACCCCTCATTTCAGAAAGAGCATCTTCGATGTTTTTCATAAACTCTGTTTTCTTCCCTAAACCATTTTCATGTCTTTTGCTATATTGTCATCAGCTACGCTCTCTACTTCTTCTTCTCAGTCTATCATCTTCAATCTCCATTCTATTTATTTTTCTTCCAAAAATTGTATGTTATCAATTCTTAAGCGTTTATGTTCATCACGAAATCTGTTGGGGACTTGACCAAATTCTTTTTGTGGCATAATTACTGAGACCCACAAAATGTTCGACGAAATGTCACAAAGAGATATTGTTATGTGTAGTACTATGATTGAGAGGTTAAGATCATGAATTTCTCTCTTTGGTAGAGAATTATTGTGGGTTAAGAAGAAATATGATCCAAAAGAGCATATTGAATGGAGATTGAGATAATTGTTGTTATACCAGAAAAGCAATTTATGTAACTATTATTTTGGAGAACAATGTTTCGATTTCAATTGAGAAACATGTACTGTAATTCTTGGATTAACCAATACTATTCTGTTTTTATCTATGTAAAATAGACTATAGCTTCAAGGGTAATCTTGACCAGAAAATTTGGTTTTGGTTAGTCACTCTATATTGATTTTGTAATGGCTATATTCTTCATTTCAATCCTCAATATGGTTAAAGAGCTAATTCACCCAAATAAAAATAGGAAAAACCGAAAAAAATAATGAATAAGGGGGTTTCAATAATAGGAACTTGGGAAGAAGCCAATAGTTTTAAACTAATCTTGATGCCTAAAGTTAGTGTAGTCCAGGGTCGACCCTGCCCTTTTTTTTTTTTTTTTTGGTTTGTCATATGAATATATTTATATAACATACTTGCCCAAATAAAATAAAGGCTATACAAAGAGAGTCAGACAGGTCGCACATAGAAACTGCAAATAAATATTAGTTTCTGTATGGTGGGACTGAAGAGTGAAGACAGACGGCCGGTAGGTGCGGTTCCCCCACACGTGTTAATGGAACTTAATTTGCATGCGCCCTTGTTTCCAAATTATATTATTTTGTACAAATTTGTGTATATATCTGAGCTTTTGAGTCTCCCCTGAATCGTACCAGAAAAACAAAAAGAGAAAAGAAAGGATGATTTTCTCAGTCTCAGTCTCCGTGTTGGCCTCTCTAACACCATACATACTAGTCACATCATTACTTCTCTTCTTTCTCCTGGAGCAGATCTCATACCTTCGCAAGAAAGGTAACATCCCTGGCCCTCACTTGGTCCTTCCGATCATCGGAAACGCCATTTCAGTCATCCGTGATCCTACTTCCTTCTGGTACAAACAATCCGATATGGCCGGAATCTCCCCTGGCCTCTCCGCCAACTACCTCGTCGGCAAATTCATCGTCTACATCAGAGATACTGAGCTCTCTCATCAGATCTTCACCAACGTTCGTCCCGATGCCTTCCACTTCGTCGGACATCCTTTCGGCAAGAAGCTCTTCGGTGATCACAACTTCATCTACATGTTTGGCGACGATCACAAGTCCGTTCGCCGCCAGATTGCTCCGAATTTTACACACAAAGCACTCTCCACCTACTCTGCTCTCATGCAAGTTAATATCCTTCGTCATCTCCGCCTCTGGGAGGAAACTCTTCCCGGTCCAGTGTCGCTGCGAAATCTCGTCCGTGATCTCAACCTCGAGACTTCCCAGACGGTTTTCGTTGGACCTTACCTCGACAAGGAAGCTAGAGACAGGTTCCGTACGGATTACAATATCTTCAACGTCGGCACAATGACGCTTCCGATTGACCTCCCGGGCTTCGCCTTCTACGAGGCTCGCTTGGCGGTGAAGAGGCTGGCTAGTATACTCGCCGACTGCGCCGGAAAATCAAAAGCGAGGATGGCGGCAGGGGAAGAGCCGACATGCCTGATCGATTTCTGGATGCAGCCGATCGTCGCGGAGATCGAATCCGGGAATCCTCCGCCGCCGCATTCCAGAGATGAAGAGATCGGCGGTTTCCTCTTCGATTTTCTCTTCGCCGCTCAAGACGCGTCCACGTCTTCGCTTCTGTGGGCGGTGGCGATGCTTGATTCGGAGCCGGCGGTGCTGAGAAAAGTGAGAGAAGAAGTCGGCAGGATCTGGCCGCCTGAGTCCAACACGTTGATCACCGTTGATCAGCTGGCGGAGATGAAGTATACGGTATCCGTGGCGCGTGAGGTCGTTAGATTCCGTCCTCCGGCGTCGATGGTCCCACACGTTGCTGCTGTAGATTTCCCACTCACGAAATCGTACACTGTCCCGAAAGGTACTATCATCTTTCCCTCGGTCTTTGACTCTTCGTTCCAAGGGTTTACAGAACCGGACCGGTTTGATCCTGACCGGTTTAGCGAGACAAGAAAAGAGGATCAGGTGTACAAACGCAATTTTTTGGCGTTTGGGTGGGGCCCGCACCAGTGCGTGGGCCAACGTTACGCCCTGAACCAGCTCGTGCTCTTTATCGCTATGTTCTCGACGCTGTTGGAATTCAAGAGGCTTCCATCGGACGGCTGTAATGAGATCATATACTGCCCCACCATATCGCCTAAGGATGGGTGTACGGGTTTCTTGTCTAGGCGCGTCGCAGCGTATCCCGATATTTCGTTAAATTGATTTAGACATTTTTAGTTTTATTTGGTGGTTCACGAGTCTATTTCTATTATTGAATCTGAGATAAGTTGTCGTTGTTTTTGTCGTATTCAGAATCTGTTTTGTTGTATTCAGAATCTATTTGTCTTTTTTTTTTTCATTTTTTTTTGGGGTCCCAGTGAAGTTGTGACGAGTTTTATATGTTTATATTATCCTTAAAATAAAGAAGACCATAAAACCCGGTAAAATGTAGTGATCTAGAATATCGAGAATCGTTTTACTATTTTAATTTAGTCTCGACCAATGTTATACACTTACATATATCTGCCTGTCTTAAAAAAATCGGCAATCGGGTGGTCGAGTCATAATTAAGAATCTTTTAAAAATCGGTATTCGGAAATTTAAATCCTATTTTTCTATATTTTAAACATTTTTATATATATTATTATTAGGTGGTTGGTCTGGGTCCACGCGGACAATAAATGTTTCAAAACTCTAATCCTTTCAATAAATATTAAATTAACGCATTTTATTTTTAATTACTTTTAATATTTTTGTAATATATTTATTTTTCAAAGAAGTAATAGTTTAATATTTTGTTAATTTGATATGAACTTATAAAATTGTGAAAGCACAAAAAAATTAATTAAATTTTGTAATAATTATTTTCTTCTCCCTCTTATTTTTTTTCAGTGATCGCATCTTTTTTTATTCGTTGTCATCATCTTTTTTTTACTTCTTCTTTTTCCAATTTTTGTTCTTCAATCATTTCTTGTATCTTCATATCCTCCAACTTACTATTCTTTTTTTTCTTTCTAATTTTTTTTACATTATTTTTTGGTTTATATTCTTCCTCATTTTCCCTTCTCTATCTTTATCATTTCCGTCTTTTTCGACATCATCTTATTCTAGTTTTTATTTATCTCTTATTTGTCTTTCCCTTCACATTTTTTTTCTTCTTAGTTTTCTTTTTTCTCTTCGAGTTTTCTTTTTCTTCTCGAAGTTTATCATCTTCTTATCCACCGTCTTCTTTTATTCTACTCGTATTTTTATCCTTCTTGTCTTTGTCTTATATTTCACTTATCAATTCATTCGATAGTTTAGATTTTCAAGGATTCGTGAAAAGTTTTTATATTTATATAGTCAAGATTTTTTAAAAATCTATTTAATTTAATTTGTGTTGTTATTTTTGATTATGGGTTTGCTTTAATTGTTTTAATTTGTGAGTGTATTTTAGAATGGTAGATATAAATTTATAATCAGTGATTTTTAATTTTGATATACTTCTATTATAATTCAATTTTTAAAATGCACAGAAACTAAACCCTACACCCATCAATATAAACCCTAAACCTAAACCCAAACCCCACATTATAAACCCCTCCCCTAATTAAAGAACCTACACCCTAAACCCAAATCCACATTATAACTCCCCTGAACGCACACATGAATCTCACATTACAAATTAGTTCTTGATTTGCTTTTATTTTTATTTTATTTATAATTTTTTTGTAATTGTTGTTTTCTTATCCCTTTTATTCTTCTCTAGTGATCTATCTTCTTTTTTTTCTTCTATTTTTTATTCGTTGTCATCATCTTCTTTTTTCTGCTTCTTCTTCATCTTCCAATTTTTGTTCTTCAATCGTTTTTGTCTCTTCATATCCTCCAACTCACTATTCTTCTTTTTCTTTCTAATTTTCTTTACATTCTATTTCCGATTTTTCTTCTTCCTCATTCCCTCTCTCTCTCTCTATCTTTATCATCTTCGTCTTCTCACATCATCTATTATTTTTTATTTATCTCTTCTTTGTCTTTTTTTCTTCACATTCCATTTTTTCTTCTTTGATTTCTTTTTCCTCGTGTTCAAGTTTTCTTCTTCCTCTCGAAATTTCCCATCTTCTTTTCTCTTACTCATATTTTTCGTTCTTGTCTACGTTTTGTATTTCACTTATCAATTCATTCGATAGTCTAGATTTTGTTAATTCACAAATTCAATTAATATTAGATTAATGCATTTTCTTTTTAATTACTTTTCATATTTTTGTAATGTGTTTATTTTCCAAGGAAGTAATAGCTTAACATTTTGTTAATTTGATATGAACTTATAAATTGTGAAAGCACAAAAAAATTAGTTAAATTTTGTAATGATTGTTTTCTTCTCCCTCTTATTTTTTTCAGTGATCCCATCTTTTCTTTTTTCTTCCATTTTTTTATTCTTTGTCATCATTTTTTTTTGCTTCTTCTTTTTCCAATTTTTGTTCTTCAATCCTTTCTTGTGTCTTCATATCCTCCAACTTACTATTCTTCTTTTTCTTTCTAATTTTCTTTACATTCTTTTTCCGGTTTATCTTCTTCGTCATTCCCCCTTCTCTCTATCTTTGTTATCTTCGTCTTCTCTAACATCATCTTATTCTAGTTTTTATTTATCTCTTATTTGTCTTCTTTCTCTTCACATTTCATTTTTTCTTCTTTGTTTTTTTTCCTCTTCTTTGTTTTCTTCTTCTTCTCGAAGATTCTCATCTTCTTATCCACCGTCTTCTTTTATTCTACTCGTGTTTTATTCCTTCTTGTCTACGTCTTATATTTCACTTATCAATTCATTTGATAGTTTAGATTTTCAAGGATTCGTGAAATAGTTTTTATCTTTATATAGTCGAGATCTTTTAAAAATCTATTTAATTTGTGTTGTTATCTTTTGAGAATGATTTGCTTTAATTTTTTTATTTTTTCTATTTGTGAGTGTATTTTAGAATGGTAGATATAAATTTATAATCAGTGATTTTTAATTTTGATATACTTCTATAATAATTCAAATTTTTAAAAATGCACCAGAAACTAAACCCTACACCCATCAATATAAACCCTAAACCCAAACCCCACAATATAAACCCTCCTCCTAATTAAAGAACCTACACCCTAAACCCAAATCCACATTATAATTCCCCCTAAATCACACATCTAAACCTCACATTACAAATTAGTTCTTGATTTGATTTTATTTTTATTTTATTTATAAAAGTTTTTTTAAGTGGTTGTTTTCTTATCCCTTTTATTCTTCTCTAGGGATTCTATCTTCTTCTTTTTTTCTACCATTTCTTTCTGGGATATTTTGCATACTAGGTAGTTTCAAGTTCCAAATATAAGAAAGAGGTGAGTATAAATTTTTATTAGGAAACTAGGAAAGAGAAAGTTTTCGTGGGTTTGGATGGACACTTTAGTCCATGAGTCTTAGAGAGGGTATGACTCAAGATTTTAACTGTTAGAGAGAGAAACTATTCACTTTCAACGCACCTGTCAGAGTAGAGAAGAGTGTGAAAATGAGCTGGCTGAGTTGGAGAGAGATAGAGTGAGAGATAAAAATAAATAAAAAATTGAATACTTTTTCTCTTTCTTACTTTTTAAAGAAAACATTCTCCCTCAAATTTGTAATTCAAATATATCAATGTAAAATTTAAATTATATGATGATATATGTATCAAAAAATTATTGATTTTTTTTTCCTTTACATATTGAATTTTGAATTTTTTAAAACGGACAATTTTAACACAATTTGTATAAACTTAATGTCAACTAGTAAACAATGTATTTAGACCACCCATTCACAATAATATGTACACCATAATATAATATATAGTGTACAATACACACTAGTATATAAAGTACACACTAATATATATTGTACCAGTATATGATATTTATTTCTTAGTTATCTTTAACAGAAGCATATATATATATATCATTTCATCAAATAATAGTGTATTTATATATTATTATACGGTATATGTATTATTATTAATTGCTAAATCCTAGTCAAATATTGATCCATGGAAAAGTCATAAAATACATTAGTAAACAAATATTATTAAATGAAACATTTGTTTGATGTAATTTAAACAACAGTAAAAATGAGTATTGAAAATCAATTACAATAGAAACTATTACTAATATAGCTAAATTGCTACTTTTTCAATCAATTAAATTATTAAATGAATAAGAGATAATTAAAGAGATGAAAATTTCAACAGAAAATATATCATATAAGAATTTAAGAAAGAGTAAAGGGAAAAAGGAGACAAATTTTTGTTAAAAGAAAATGTATAATGACATTAGAAAAATAAATGTTATTGAATAAAACATTTGTTTGATGTAATTTAAAATACAGTAAAAATGAGTATTTTTTAATTATAGTAAAAACAATTACTGTAATGAATAAGAGATAAATGTATAAAAAATAATTAAAGAAGTGAGAGTTTGAACTAAAACAATTACTATAATGAATAAGAGATAAATGGAGTATCTCACAAAACAATTTAGGAAAGAGAAAAGGAAAAAAAAAAGAAGATAATTTTTTGTTTTAGAAAAAGGTATAATGGCATAATCGTGATTTATATTTTGCAATTTCGAATTATTTTATTTAAATAAATCAAGTGGCATTTTCCGTAAATAAGTCAAAATTTGAAGGACTATTATCAAGGCCCAAACAGTGATCCACCTCTTTTGCAATTTAAAACTTACATTCACCTAAAACTTCATTACAAACATAAAACCCACCTTGCCACGAAGGATACTTTGCATACTAGGTAGTTTCAAGTTCCAAATATGAGAAAGAGGTAAGTATAAGTTTTTATTAGGAATCTAGGAAAGAGAAAGTTTTCGTGGGTTTGGGTGGACACTTTAGTCCATGAGTCTTAGAGAAGGTGTGACTCATGATTTCAACTGTTAGAGAGAGAAATTATTCACTTTCCACGCACCTGTCAGAGTAGAGAAGAGTGTGAAAATGAGCTTGCTGAGTTGGAGAGAGATAGAGTGAGAGATAAAAATAAATAAAAAATTGAATACTTTTTCTCGTTCTTACTTTTTCAAAAAAACATTATCCCTCAAATTTGTAATTCAAATATATCAATATAAAATTTAAATTATATGATGATATATGTATCAAAAAATTATTGATTTTTTTTTCCTTTACATATTGAATTTTGAATTTTTTAAAACAGACAATTTTAACACAATTTGTATAAACTTAA